GGTCTCTGTCTAGAGACTCCAACATGGCGCTAACGACGAGTTCGCCTACGGTAGAACTCATTCGTTCTACCGCACCCCATATGATGTCACTCAAATGGGTAAACCCTTCACGCGTGGCGTGAAAGGTGTCTTCATCATCCAACATGTTCATATTGGATGTTGTGGTCCTTGGAAGGACTACAAAGTGCTACCAGGTGTAACGGGGCACACCCTTGCGTAACTTAACGCAAGGGTTTCGGTGCCCCGACGGACGTACACGTGGCAAGCGAGGAAGCGTAGGTAGGGTAAAAGTAGAACTGTTATATTAATATAATTAAGTCTTTAAACTACTGTCTCTTCGTTTGACTTAATTCAATTATACTAATATAACTGGATGTATGGTGACGTCTCGTCCCCACTCATTGCGCGCGTCTTGCGGCGATTGGTGGGTTGATATCATCACGATATCAATCAATGAGCATAATCTTTGGTCGACCCTTCAATATCACCACTTTGGTGATATTGTTCAAAGAATATCCATCTTTATATTCTTTATTGTCACTGTTTCTTTAAAGTGACAATTCCATGTAACGGGCTGCCCAGTTACAATCGTGGTACATTCACCTTTTCGGGTCCCCCACAATTAATGCGGCACGTCAAGCACAAACTAGGCAAATTATGGAGCCTGATTCAGTGGCACAGAAGACATGGCAGTAATACACCTCAATGTCATTGCTTGTATCTACTATTTGGATAGCTGCGTTCAATATCGTGAAGGATGACTTTTTGCAAAGCACTAGCAGAGTCGTATGTAGAACGCACCTCATCGATTAATCGAAGCGGTGTAGTGAACCGTCGACACGTCATTTGATACATGCGCTATCGGACTGCAAATATGTTCTACAGTGGTGTGATAATACAACGCGAGCTACCACAAACGAAAAGATTCTGATCGTTGCCGACCTTGCACCATGCACAGCGTGAAGCACCCCGTGCTCGAGCGCCTGCACTTATGGTGTAATTCTGTCAATAAGAAGTGCACTGTCGAGGACTGCTTGTACTGTATCGCAGAACAATCGTCGTGTAATGGACGGACAAAAAATCGGGTGTGCATTATTAACTGCGCCACAGCTTTGCGACACGGGCGAAATATTGCACTGTAAGTGTAAGAAGAGGTCTTTGCCCAAACAGGGTAGGTGAAAGCCCGCAACATCAAACGTGTTCACAGCAAAGACGATAGGACGATAGGACGATAGCTGGGTACACGTAGATGGGAGCGACGTGTAATCGAGACAAAGTGATGATGCGAAAATCACTCGCGGAAAACGGCGATCCTACGAGCTGGGAACGTGAGACACAACAACGGTGTCTCACCTTCCCGGCTCGTGGGGGTCAAGCTGAGGTACCACATCTTGGTAATAATTCGGGTACGATTTGAGACAACAGCACGAACATGGCTTGTACGCTTGTACGAGGAGCGGCTCTGTACCGCGTCTTTTAGTATCAGTGATTCCGTCCAGAGAACAGCTACAATAGCTGGCTATGCATGCACGCCCAACAAAATGATCAAGGCTCGCGGCTGGGGGACGGGTCGTGCGTCGTGAGTTGTGGCACAACTGTGCTGTCGTACTTGTCGTGTGGTCACGACGCACTCGTTCGTGTTGTTGTTGTGTTGTAGAGAAAGACGAACGAAAAGAAAGACAACAGCTGATCTCCTTGCAGAAGCAACTACCACAACAATAATACCAATGGAATATGATGGGTGGATGACGACGAGAGAGCGACTAAGAGAGAGAGACTATAAGAAATGTCTTACGGCTGAGTGAAAGAGTAATCTAGTACGTCCTTCTTTCTAGTTTCTTATATTCTACGGACGGCGGGAGCGCATGCATCTGTAAGAATATGACACTCTACACACGCGTAAGACATGCAGCAACAAGGTGAGTGTCAAGAACTTCGCCATGTATAGCGCTATCGCCCAGCAATAGCTTTGCCCATTGAGGCCACAACATAGCAACCATGACATGACTACGAGCACCTGTGCGCCCACAAACATCTCGATCATCAATCGCCAATTTTCTGTATGTATACGGCCCGTGCACGAATGTCGCGAGCAATATCGACATGTCGCGGACTGCTCTTCAAGAATATGTGACATCAACGAATGTGACAAAACCTGATCGAGTACTTGGTTCCACTATCCCACCGCGCGCATGGGCGCTACGTTTGCGCAGATGGGAAGCGTACGCAATCCGACGTTGAGTCTTTCGAAACGAATTACCCGTGCAACAGGATCTATCAGTTACCGTGCTCTCAGGCGAAAAGAACAGTACGGCACTCCGAACTCTCATATATTTGCACACTTAGTGACACGAGTAGAACGCGTGATGGTTGACTTGGGTCCCATCCAGTTGTGTGCGAGTTGGCTACAGCTGTGCACATCGTGCGGAGATACTGGAGATTGGGGAACCAGAGCCAGACGCTCGCGGCAACAAGCCCGTCAGCACAAGCCATGTACCCGATGACCCGTCCGTCCAGTCATTCAGCACACGCAGCATTGAGACCACATTGTCTTCCTCACTTTCGAATTTGACTCGCCAGCGCCACCTCCTCGCCAGCGCCACCTCCTCGCCAGCACCACCTCCTCGCCAGCGCCACCTCCCCGCCAGCGCCACCTCCTCGCCAGCGCCACCTCCTCGCCAGCACCACCTCCTCGCCAGCACCACCTCCTCGCCAGCACCACCTCGTCGCCAGCGCCACCTCCTCGCCAGCGCCACCTCCTCGCCAGCACCACCTCCTCGCCAGCGCCACCTCCTCGTCAAAGCTCCTGTCATACTGACTGACACTCCTCCCGCCACAATGGTCAAGATCTTCCGTCTCCTCACGCTCGCGCTCGTCATGTCTGCTGGCGGTGGCGCGCTGTCGGCGCCAGTCGCTGAACAGTCGACCAAGGGGACGACGTCGGACCTGGACCCGGACGCACTCACTCCAACAACTTCCGGGAACCTTCGGGGCGCTGACGGGTTTGGCCTTCTTGCACACGATGGGGGTGAAGAAAGATCGATTAAGTTAGAAGGGGCCTTGCTGGACGACAGTTTGAAAGCACTGTTTTCGTCAACGAGTACCAACTTTGGAGAAATTGGCCGAGGCGAAATATCGCCTAAAGCTCTGAATGCGATTTTAAAGGCGCGTCAGCCTGGACGTCTCAGTATCCACAAGTATAGCTCATCGCACGAATCAGCTCTCAGGGCGATTGATGTTTCAAAGACACAAAGTTCGACCTGATGCTTAAACTTGCTGCGGAAAAGGTCTCATCAAAGGACTTTGTTCGGGCTGCCCGAAGCATTGCCACCGATGCTGAGGGTGCAGAAGACAGGTATTCTATCAACCGCGGTACAAGTACGAACATTTGTTGGGTAAAGCAGGCCACTCCGTTCACAACCTGGATAAGGGGTTATTGACAGCATAACAAAAGAATTCGCACAAGCTAGAGGGAGGTGGTCTATAGGAGTGGTAGGTCTACAACTATCCAGGCCTACTGAGCAACGACTGTACGTACTTTGCATGAGTTGTATTTATCATCTTTGTATCTGATGACTTCTTGTTTCAGCATTGACAACTAACGATGGCTAATGTTTTGACTGGGCTTGTGCTTTTAGCATTCGCCACGAGAGACACTCACACGGACTCCGACACCGTTGTAGACGTTAGCGAGGCACCATTGCGGACGATGGCGAGATACCATGCTGCTTCATCTAACAATGGCCGTGTACTTATTGAGTATGCGTGTGACGCATAGTTTTTGATGGTGCCCCGACCGACATCATCGTGTTAATTTCGCAGAATACGTATTTTACTTGCATCTTGCACAGCCCCAGCACTTGCCCGCATGCACTATATGTGTAACTAAAGCCGTTAGAGCGCTCAAACTACCTCCCACATCCACTCGTACATGCGGCAGATAGGGTCTGCCAACAGGCCTGCGCGCGTGGGCATGTCCAGCACTTGTGTTCTTTTCCGTGTGCTTCACCCTTGGCAGCATTGTTTCTTGCGACGACCGCAGTCGCGTCCTCATCTGTCGAAAGGTCGGTCCAGTTGCTGCACTGACATACCATAGATGACTCAGACCCGGTCCTTCTTAGGTCGTCGTCGTGTGCCCACATCGTTCCTGGCAGCAGCTGGACGCGACAGCTCATCAAGCACACCTCGTGCCAGTGCATCGTGCCCTTTCTAGAGCCTAAGATAGCGCACGATCTGAAGCGTTCAACAGACGAATGGTCGCCACCAGATTGCCAGCAGGACGTTGAGTTCGCGACGGTGCCGGGTACACTCCATGTAATCCGCGGATCAGCGAATACGCATCAAAGACAGTACCGCTTGATCGTGGCGCTGTCTAAGCGTTCTGGTAGTCGGTCGCTGTCCACTGATCGTCAGTGTTGATCACTCGAGGCAATCACTGTTTCCACTACTCTCTTGCGCCCGAACGATGGCGCTTTGCCGCGTGTTACCGATACCCGCCCATATGCCGCTGGTGCCATCCGTTGTAAGCGGTTGTCGTGCGTAGACATTCATCAGTTTATTCTCGCGGTAAGTGCCGCTGACGCAGATCCCCGTTAAGCTTGAGGTCGGCTGCCAAAGGCGAATCCTGGAGCACTCCCTCGTATCAATATCCCTCAGCAACGCAGCTTGGCCTGCCAATTAATGCACATGTGGGCCCGTACCATTAGAATGACAGGGAGTGCGTATGGCTTGTCTTGACAGGATGCAGGCCCAGTTCTGCAATCGAGCAAGACCCTCACCTTGTAAACGTCCAGTGCGACCATAGTGTCCCTCAGTGCTCCACAACGCAAGATTTGGTCGCCCAAAGAGCACGTGGGATACAATGCTCCTTCTTCTGGCAGCAGCGGTCGCTTCCTCGTGCGTAGTTCCGTCGTGTGGTCATTCGATGACATCACGTAGTGCGATAGTCCATCGCCACAAGCTGATGGTGTGTTTTGCATGGCTCTTCGATGACCATGACAATGCAGCGGTCGGTGCTAGTACCAACGATCCGAGCAGTTAGTGGCGCCGCCGTAGTGGCCCAGGCACGTGGACACACCTTTGTCCACGCGTGTGGGGAGGCGGAAGGAACGTACGAAGGACGATGGACGTTGTTCGAGTCGATGGCAGTGTCGAGCGGAGAGAATTGAGGTCGAAGCTGTGGGTTCGCTGGGAGTAGCGGAAGGCCGCGAGCAGGCTGGTCTCGTCTGGCAGCACCTGTTCGTGGACCGCTCTCCTGTGTCGGAGGCTTGCCGTGGAGTACTGACGACGCTGCACTTGTTGGGTCTGGACCACCTTGTGGCGAGACGCGACCTGTCTGCTATCCAGGAATGGTTCAAGCAGCAGGATGCCGAGGAGTTCGTGGACACGGTGTTCCGCCTAGCTGGTCTCAAGTACGCAGTGATGACTAACATCCCGTTTGAACCGGAGGAGGCCCGACACTGGCTGGTTAATCCAGCCACAACCACGCCGCCGCCTGCATGGTCGCGCAAATACTTCCGTTCGGCTCTGCGGGTAGACCAGGTCCTGCTTGGCGATTGGGCGTCCATCAGCCCGACGCTGGACGTGTTCAAGCAACCGCATACGCTCGCGGGTGTGCGTTTGCTTCTGGAGAAGTGGATCGACATTATAAAGCCCGAGTACTTCATGGCTAGCGTGCCCATTTCCTTCGAGTACCCGGAGGAGAGTCCGTCTGCTTCTGCTGGTACAAATGAGCTGCCTGATGGTGCGGAATTGCTGCTCCAAGTGCTGCTGCCGCTGGCTGAAGAGAAGAAGCTGCCGATTGCGCTAAAGTTTGACAGCGTGCGCCCGATCAATGCTCGCTATGGTGTGGCCGGCGACGGCGTGAAGCCGAGCAATGTGGACATTTTGATCAAGTTGTGCCGTAACTTCCCCAAGGTAAAGTTTCTGGCCACGTTTCTCTCGCGCGTGAACCAGCACGAAGTGACCGTGGCGGCCAACAAGTTCCGGAACCTGCATCTGTATGGCTGCTGGTGGTACTGCAACAACCCGTCGATCATTGAAGAGCTCACGCGGATGCGTATCGAGATCCTGGGCACGGCGTTCACGAGCCAGCACTCGGACGCGCGTGTGCTGGACCAGCTCATTTACAAGTGGAGCCACTCGCGCGATGTGATCGGCAAAGTGCTCGTGGACATGTACGAGAGGCTCTTTGCCACGGGCTGGAAGATGTCCAGCGCGACGTGCAGAGGTTGTTTGGCCAGAGCTACGAGGCGTTCATGGCAAAGAGACTGTTTGTAATGTATTTAGAAAGAACAGGTGTAACGTTAACCACCCCACAGGCTTTCGTTGACCACCGCCCACCCCTAAATATTACCGTAACTTACTCGATTTACGCCTTCTGATCGGTAGGATCGAGAAAATTGTCTGTCTCAGAAGCAATTTACAATCTCATTTACGGATCATAAAATACTAAATCTGGACAATCGATGCTTGTCTTATTGTCGGCGACGCGTGGTAATTTATTATTCAGCTACGTCATTTATCTGGGTAATGGCCCGGCCAAATGAGACTTTTATACGAACGGGTCTGGAACAGGTTGGGCTTGTAGCGATTATCCTGCATGGGCACTGTGACAAAGGCACCCAACAATACTATATTTGAAAATGATCTTAAGCCAGCCGCAAAGGTCTATCAAGGGGTACATTTATCGTCGTAATACCTGTTGAATTGACTAACCAGACTAACGTGTGATTTGGTGATGGTAGTGGCTCGACGTGGCGTCTGACAAGAGCCAGACTGAGCTTACCTCGATAGGGTCTTCCCGAATAGGCAGTTTGCATCCGCTGGGCACTACAATTAACTCCGTTTCGATTCAAATGGAGATCAACGCCCACTCCTTCTCGTCATTGTGCACAATGCAGCCAGGTGACTGGTCTCAGCCGATCAATGTAACGGGGCAGCCCGTTACATGAAATTGTCACTTTAAAGAAACAGTGACAATAAAGAATATAAAGATGGATATTCTTTAAACAATATCACCAAAGCGGTGATATTGAAGGGTCGACCAAAAGGGGTCTGTTCATTGGTTGATATCGTGATGATATCAACCCACCAATCGCCGCAAGACGCGCGCAATGAGTGGTGACGAGACGTCACCATACATCCAGTTATATTAGTAAAGTTAAGCTAAGTTAAACAGAGAGATAAGGTCAAAAGACTTAATTATATTAATATAACAGTTCTACTTTTACCCTACCTACGCTTCCTCGCTTGCCACGTGTACGTCCGTCGGGGCACCCAAAACCCTTGCGTTAAGTTACGCAAGGGTGTGCCCCGTTACAATCAACGTGACAGCAGTGATCACCGGCATCAACGAGGATGGCTTACTGAGCGCTACAAGATCCGTCACTAGCGGCAAGAAAGTTGTTTATATGGAAACATATGCTCAATCGTTGAAGACCGCCATCAACCATGTTCTTGTTGAGTACTTTTCCACTCACGGATACAGTGATGAATCTAACTCATATTGCTGGTGTTGTCGATTCAGATGGGGGCGATAACCGTGTCAAGCAACAAGCTTTACATCTATGGGAGACGATCAGGTGTCTCATGTTCGTTTCAGCTGGAGCGCAGGCCCTGTTGGGTCACAAGAGCATGGCTGAGATGTTATATTGCGGTTAATTGAATGGCTCGCCTTCTGTTCATCTTCATCCAATAGTCCAATCAATTGGAATAGGTTGGTGCGTATACAGACTGGTCAGGTGGAGCCTCGTTGATCGGCATGACAACTTTCGGTGAGATCGGTCACCTTCCTAAGTTAAACGACTTGCCTCACAACGACTCGCTCTTCTTTGGCGCCATTATCATCCCGAAGCGTAATCAAATACATGGAAAGTACATATATTACGGTAATATTTATATATGTGTGTGAGGGTGGTTAACGAAAAACTGGGGGTGGTTAACATTTACCTCAAAAAACTTAGATTAACGCAAATAATGTAGGCACTAATGCTTCAATTAGTACCGTCTTATAGGTCTTGTATTAGGTGGCTGACACACGTCAGCCCTCAACAGCTGTTACTGTGTTTTCATATCATCTTTGTTGGGGTCTCATCCTCAATGTGGACCACGCCTGTTTTGTCGGTAACCAACCGCCGTGTAACCCCGGTGCACTCCACCCCACTAGACTGACATTACCACAAAACGTCAATCGAATTATTTCCTCGAGGAGGACGGTGTGTGTGCGCTTCAACCTCACGGTGTGCAAGACACGAAACACCATGGCAAAGCCACCCGACGAGTCATCCATTGTCTTTAATTATCTCGGCATCAATGTGGAGGTGGACTATGGTAGTGATACCAATGTCAATGGTGAAGAGAGGACACTGTCCGACTCACCGGTGCAAGAGGCACCGCCTCATACTGTACAAGATCTATTTGCCGAGCGTGGCGGTGTCAACGCGCCATCGGCGCAGCATCATACACCCAACGTGAGCGATGCGATCATCTACAATTCGATCGATGAGCAACAGCAGTTGGCAATCCAACAAGAAGAGAGCGCCCGGCGCCGTAAGAAACTTGCTGCAACCCTTGAGAGTCGCCGTGGATATGTGTTCACTTCGCTTAGTGTTGAAGAACGTATATGCCAAACGACAGGCCGTTCATTGGCAACGTGGGCCATTGGCGGTGGGCCTGCGTCTCCTGATGATGCTACAAGTCGACAGGCACTTCGCGAGAAGTACCTGGAACTTTATCTGACGACCTAAAGTCAATATAAGTTGCGACTTGACACGCAAGCACAGGGTGAACCGGTACCACCGATAAAAGGTATAACCATCCTCCTATTTGCAGGCAAATCACAGGAGGAAGACGACAACGCGTTTGTCTTCAAGGTGCATCGGAAACGACACCTCAGCAGCGTGTCAGCTCTTAGAGCAAGTGCCGATGTGGCAGATGTTCGTCTAGAACGAGAGCTTTGGTATGACTACGCCAAGCTTAAGGCCATCAGCCAGTTGCGAACTCTCACACGCTATGCTCCGGATGTGCCGGCTGATGTGAGTGTTGGTCAAGCGGTGCCCAACTACCCACCTGATTCCACCACTATTGGTGAGAAGCGTCTTTGGTCACAGGAGGACCCTTGCCGCGATGTTCAAACACATCCAAGGCGTATGGGAAATCCTGCCGAAGGGGTGTCTCAAACTATCATAAGTTTTCCGACTCCGAATACCCTCGCCACTTTACCAGATACTGAAATTGATCCTGACGACGACGTCGTTATAGGAGTCGCTCCACATGGAACTGGCGGTTTCCTTGCTCATCGAGCAGCGTCGGAAATGTTCGGTATACCGAAGGAGGAGCATGAGAAGGTGATTTTCGAGCTGAGTGGTCTCCGTGAGACATTGGGTAAGACCCAGAGTGTGCTTGACGCAATGAGAGCCCGTATTGAGTTGTTGGAGTTGGATTCAGCTCGTGTCCGGGAAATAAAGTTGGGCCAAGCCCGGATGGAGGCTCAGCTTGAAGTCCTGATACGGATTGAGCAATCGATGGCAAGGTCAACCTACTCGGTGTTAGCGCCTCCAAATTCACGTGGGACAGATCCCGGTACGGCTTAAGCAATCCAACGTAGAACACAGGGTATGTGCGTAGTTTGCGCGGAAGGTTGAGCGTATACGCAAGTCTTTTCTTAGCGACGACCGTGAATGGTCCAATGAAGCGCAGACGCAACTTTGTCTTAGAGACAGCAGACACTGCATTTGTCGGTAAGTTCTTGGCATTGAGTAGAACTTGGTCTCCGACCTCACAACTTTCAATAAACCCTCTGCCTTTAGCATCAGCTTGTTCCTTCTGCATGTTTTTGCAATTAGCCAGCGCGATACGCGCATGTCGTATGATATTCGATCGCGTTGCGAGAAACTCGATTTCCTGTGTTTGAACAGTATCAGGGATGATATCAGCAAGCCGATAGGCAAACCCTCCCCCACCAAGCCATGAACCACGTAGTGGTAGCGGTAACGGAACGCGAGGGTGGGTAATACCATACACATATAGGGTGTGTAGCCGGTGGAGGCATGCACGGCGTTTTTAACGCAAACCCAAAGACAGGGAGCATCGCACTCCACCGCTTCGGCGTATCAGCGCAAACATGCGCAAGATGTCACAGATGATGCGATTCACGCGCTCAGTTTATTCATCTTTCTGCGCATTATCCGCGGTGGACATGTCCAATCGTGTGCCGAGCACTTTGAAGATGGACTTCCAAAACTTTCCGGTAAATCCAGAGTCTATATCAGAGATAATTGCCAACGTCAAACCATGTTGTCCAAACACACGATCGATAAACAGCATAGCTGTACCTTCACCATCGATCGAATACGGCACCACCGCTAAACGAGCCATATTTCTCAAACGGTAAAAAATACCACAATACCCGTGTTCCCATACGAATCTTTCGGTAAATCAAACTGGAAATCCATACTGATGGAATCCCAACACCCTTTGGGTACAGGCAAACTATCCAGCGGCGCTACCGCGTTAGCTGAGGGTTTTACCCGTTGACACGTTTCACACTTACTCACATAGGTGCTGACCCATTTGTAAAGTTTGGGCCACCAATAGTATTGGCCAACTGATCCATTGGGCTTCTCACGAACGAGATGACCACTCAACGAAGTATCATGTGCCTCATAGAGGATCCGATACTTCAACTCCTCATCATGAGGGACAACGATGCGAGGGGTATCATCAACATCCGTGCTATAGCACAACAGGTCTTGATCGATGGAGTATCGATGTAGCCTCGCACGTAATCGTGCCGACAATTCTATGTCCGAGTCCTTGAACTCGTCGCTCCCTAGAGCACGTAGCAGAGCTACACAATGTTCATCCTTGGCATATGCCGTACGGATTAGGTCAGTGACCGACGACGACAGTGGTAACATGAGCAAGCTCATAGTCAGGCCTGCGTGACAACGCATCAGCCAAAGCATTCTGCTTGCCTGGCTTATACTTCACCTCGAAGTTGTACTCAGCATATACGGATGAGAGCCAACAAGCCATTGTCTGAGAGAGGTGAGGCGACTGAGTCACGGCGCGTAGTGACGCATGATCTGTAAAGATCACAAACGTCTTAAAGCCAAGCAGATGAACTCTGAATTTGACTAAAGCATACTTCATTGCAAGTAGCTCTTTGTCATGAACTGGATAGTTCTTCTCAGATGCCTTTAGCTGCGGGAGCTCGAGCGCAATGACGCGTTCCCACCCATCAGAATCTGTCTGTAACAGAGCATTGCCTATGCAAA